AACCTTCCCCGTTGCGATCAAGGATGGTTGTCCATCTGCCCACCTCAATCAGCAGGTTGGTTATACAAGAATGATCTTTCCTGAAATCATACTGTCGGGGTGAAAAGAAGTTTAAGGATAGTCGTGTATACCGCCGCAAATCAGGAATTCCATAATTTTTGAAGGTATAGAGAGAACGGCCATAGGTCGGTAGCTTGAAGTTTCGCCGCGTTGACTTCCTTTGAAAATAGGTGTGATGTAAGCCAGCTTCCAAATTTCCTGTAGTTTACCTCGGCTTAGCGAGCGTGAGAACACCACGCTAACCGGTGCTGCCAGGATTGAAGCTGCTTCCCTAAGTATAGCAGAATGAACCATATCCGGGCCAGGAGAATTGTCTTTTTTTAATTGCTGCAGTTTCCGGTACACCAAGTCAGTGCTCTTGTTCAATGTCATAAGGTAATGCATTTCATTCGTTGGTGATTCGATGGGAAAGTCGATTGTCAGTTGTTCTGGGCTTTTGAACTTTCTAAGAGCGTTCGCGTACTGCAATACTGAACTCAAGGACAAACGAACACCGTAAGCAAAGTCAAAATGGTTTCAGCGTCAACATGGCTAAAGGTTCTAATTAATGACAATAGAGCTCTGAAACCCTTGGCGACTATCGCACAGTAGTGTGGAGTAGCTTTTAAGTCTCGGCCAACGGTGACCCCTAGGTCACGGCATGACTGGAAAATAGGTAGCTCACTATTATTCACCGTGTATGTGTCTGTACCTCGGTGACCAACATGTATTACAAAGCACTTGGAAGCATCTATTGGAAATTGCCTAGTTCTAGACAATTCAAATAATTTCTTCAGGTCATTTCGAATTTCCAAAGTATTTACTTCATTTATTATCGCTCTTTATATTTTAACGTCTTCAACATTTAATGAAATCGAGGATGATACGAGACTTGGAAGGTCATATAGCGGGGGACAACACTGGCCCCCAAAGCGTACCATGAGGCACTCCGCTAAGCACAAACAACTGCAAGTTCACCCTCACTTCTTGTTGGCGCCCAATTAGGAAGTCTTCAGTCTCAATATTACTTAACTTGGATAACATGACTGAGCCATGCCATACAAATCAATATTTTGTGCAATCATCATCTTTGACCTTCTCTTCGTGTCACATTTTGAGAGTGAATTTTCTCAGTTTCTTTATGTTCAGCCTCAAAGATCGTGTGGTTTAAAACCAATATCATCACAATCCCCTTGCGGTTTAGGTCCCCATTCAGCATGGTCAGTTCTTTTTCTTGGGTGCCTCTAAGGTCGACTACAGCCTCTAATAAAACTGATCCTAATCGTCTCCATTACCGTCATTGGTGAGCTCCTAGCACTGGATAACATTCATTATAATCCCCTCCTTTGTTTCAAGGAGTGATTTGATTATCCTGAATCTATGAGATTCTCATCCTATAAGTGCTTTTCATGCTTTATTGGGTAGCATCAAAGCAACTCTCTGCGTAAGCGGAGCATTTTATTCTTCATGACCACAGTACAACAGCACCTCTCATGAATCTAATATTTTCTGTCCAACAGCTCTCTTCATTTTCAAAGCTATATGACTGGTTATCCTGGTCTGCCACATTGTCTGGACATTCTGTACACCTAAATTAGTTGTTGCTCTGGTTGTCAGAATAAGGAACAGCCTCGTGACATCCAAAGAATCCCGACTTTCACCATAGGTTATAATGATCCTAAATGAATTTCCTTGAACTCCTACGATAAAGTTTAAATGGTTCATATTGTTCATTCTGGTTAGAGCGTTTTAGCAATGTCGTGTTCTACGGGGTGACGTTGCTGACCCCGTGCCCAACCCTTGTCCGGAATTGGAACCGGCAGTAACTCTAGAAGTGCTACAAGCGGAGTTACGCAAATAACTAACGTTAAATAAAGCGTAGATACATTCTTCCCTCCGGGCTTTATTTGTAAATAACTTAAGTTGGAGATTAAATATGCTGTGGAGGCCCGTTATTTAATCGTCATTTAGATCAAAGGATGTTGTCGAGGGGGCTCTTACTTTAGTAGCTCGCGATCTGACTTCAAGGAGATCGTATGAATGTTTGTTATCACCTATCCCCGTATATAATCATCGACTTAAATCGCGTTAGTCAATAACGAAATTAAATAAGTCAACTAACGAGAATGGACTTGTGAATACATATATTTTGAATATAAAGCGAATGAAATAGATAGAAGAGAAACGACGCGCAGTGGAGATGGCGGGTAAGTCAACTCCGTTTAGTCAAGCGGTAATCAACATTTATAGGCGCACAAAAACAAGTTACAGACATGTGATGAGTAATGAGATAAGAAGCGTACACACACCTACGCGCTCATACAAAAACAGTCAAGATTGATAAGCGAATAAATAACAAGGTCAGAATGCGACTCAAGTAGAATGAATAGAATGAGCTGTCCAAAATCTAGAATAAGGTATATAGGCTTAACATAATAACCGACACTACAATGCCATTGATCAAGTCGTTACCATAGTTTTTCCACTTTTAGTAACTCTGGAAGAGCTACAGGTTGAGTTAAGTCGTCAATGTGGGTCAGGGAAAATTAGACCAGACTGATTTTCGTATTCGGTGGTCAACATTTGTCTGTGTTATATTAATCATTACCATCGTTCATGAGAGCTGTACTTAACGTAGATACCTACTAATAATTTACTGACTAGTGTAATCCGAAGTCAACCACGTGTTATAATCTATTCTGTCCCAATCTACGATGTGCAGAGGTTGACAAAGATGTCTTGTAGAATATGGGTTGTCCTGTGGTCATGATGTTGTATGAAACGATAGTGTTTGCACGCAGAAGTTTCTTGATCAGAGTTTTTGCTGTTGTATGTACTTATAATCGAGCCATATTTTCAATCGATACTTGATGTGTGAGATTCGAATGTGACGTGAATTGTGATCAGCGAATAAAATTGACACAAGCAGGGAGTTTTGAGTCACCATTCGTTAAGCTCCATCTGCTAGGGTGGGATAAAAGGTTATGTTGTCCTATTGGGTCGCAGCCAATGTTGGCAATGGGGCGTCTGCGACAACAGAACCCCGGTGGATAGGGTTACGTAAGCCACCCTTCATGTGCACGTATGTGTAACTACGTGTAACAATCAGTTCACCGTTTGCAACCTGAAGTTCAAAAACGGAATACTGTAGATGACTGTTTGCGTTCGCGCAAAGAACGCTTCCAAAATTGTAGTCAATAGGGCCGATATGGTTGGGAGTGAGCGCAAAAGAAATACAACTATAGCTGCTCAGTTCAACGACTTCCAATCTACCTCTAATATTAAATAGTGTTTAAAGGTGCCGCAAGTATTCGGAGTTTGACGATGCTTTTACACATGACACCTTTATAATCAAAGTATGCTCACCCAGTCAACTCAGAAGTCAGCAATGAAGAAGTCCTAAGATATATTTGAAAGGCCACAGATATCTTGAGAAACGTTTGATCTAAGTAGGTTAACAGTCGGAAGAGATGGGTAGCACGGCGTACTCATTCGTGGTCTGGTGTGTTTGCGTGACCAAGCATATTGAGCTGGGTGAGCGCAGTAAAAATATTATGGTCAGCATCAAATGTAAAAGACTTAAAGAACTAGTTATTTCGGAGATTTATTCAGTACTATATGTTCAGTTGCGGTTTTCAGTTTTAGTTTGGAAAGGACAGGAGGCTTGAAGACCTGTGTTAGTCCTGGAAATGTTGGTCTCTCAGTTGATTCAACTTTATTTTGAAAAAGTCGACGGATGGAGCCTCAATCACGTGCTGAGGTGATGAATTCCACTCGTTGATGATTCGATGAGAAATTTCATAGTTAACTGACAAGTAATTTGTCCTGGGCTTGTGAACTTTTTTGAAGTGTCCTCGTAAATTCTCTGTTTTGGAAGACAAGAAAAATGAGGGCATATCAAGTGCAAATTTATCACTAAGCAACTTGAAAACTGTAATCAAGTCACCTCTAGTTCTACGATAAGACAACGGCAATAGGTTTGGCTTGGCCAGTCAGGCATCATACAGAAGCTTCGCTATTCCGGGAATCAGCTTAGTTACCGTTCTCTGAACCTTTTCCATAAGTTCACTGTCTTTTTTTAAGCAAGGGATAGCCGCTTGTATGCAGTACTTGAGTTTAGGACGCACGAACACTGTATACAAAGTCAAAAACGTTTTAGCATCGACATGACTAAAAGCCCTACGTATTGAACATAAGGTTCTAAAACCTCTGTCGGCCATTGCACAGTAGTGCGCAGTAGTCTTCAAGTCTTGGCTAACCATGACTCATAAGTCACTATGTGTCTGGACAATAGGTAATTCAGTGTTATTTATCGTGTATGTATCTGTACCTTGATGACCGATATGCATCGCAACACACTTGGAAGTATTCATCGGCAACTGCCAGGTTTGAGACCATTCAGATGATTTTTCAGGTAATTTAGAAGTTCTAAGCTATCACCCTTACATCGTATCGTTCTCCATATCTTAATATCGTCAGCATATAGCAAGACCAATGATGATAGGAGACGAGGAAGATCATTTACATACAGGAGGAATAGCACTGGCCCCAAAACCATACCCTAGGGCGCTTCACTAAGCACAGTTACCCAGTTAAATAACTTTGAGTTCACCCTTACTCTTTGTTAACGCCCAACTAGGAAGTCTTTTATCCACATCAATAGATAGCATTCAATCCCGACATTTCTTAGCTTATATAACAGCCGGTTGTGCGGAACTTTGTCAAAAGCTTTGCTGAAATCAATGTAGGCTACGTCTATTATTATTATTATTATTATTATTACAGGTTCATAACCTTTTTCTGCGGTTGGGGGACTACATTAAGAACTTTACTCCTTTATAACCAAGAACCTAGTTAATGTCTCTAAGGAGTAAATAGTTGGTTATTTTTCCGACTAATGCTTGAGATTTGAAATAACAGTTTGCCTTAAAGGCGCTCTACTGTAAGCTGTACGTTACACAATGACTGTTGATGCTGAAGGGAATAAGATAGTTGTTTGTGACAATGGTACAGGAGTGAGTTTACTATCTTGTCTTTTACTGGAAATCTTCAGTTTGTAAAATGTGGATACGCTGGAGCCACCTTCCCCGAATTTATTTTCCCATCACTCATAGGGAGACCAATATTGCGCGCAACTTCTCGCGTGGGCAATTTGGAAGTTCAGGATCTTATGATAGGTGATGAAGCAAGTGAATTAAGACAAATGTTGGAATTAAGTTATCCACTGGAGAACGGCATTGTTAGAAATTGGGACGATATGATCCATTTATATGATTACATATTCGGTCCAAAAAAGATGAACATTGATCCCAAACATGCAAAGATTTTGTTAACAGAGCCTCCTCTCAATCCATTGCGTAACAGAGAGAAAATGGTCGAAGTTATGTTTGAAAAATATGGCTTTAATGCACTATTCATTGCCATCCAAGCGACATTGACTCTTTACGCCCAAGGTATGCTACCATTTATAACTTCTGTAAAAGCGTTGTAAGCTGTGTGCCTGTTACACTGTGATCTGAAAGATCATGCTTTAAAAGTGTTTCAAGTACTCTGTGGAAATAAGCTAGCTAGTTATCATCACTCAACAATATTTTCTCTCGAGTTTAGTAAAGAATTTAATCAATCCCACAGGTAATGGCTGTAAGACAGTTCAGTGTTATTTGCCACTAACGACTCAAATTACCATACTTTTGGAGGCGTTGATCATGTGTCTTTTTTTCTCGGTCCATAATATTGTTTTTCATTGGAGTGAACTTTATCAAGTTTTGTTTCGTTAGTAAAACATCCATCTGTAAAAGTTTCCGAGTCCACAGTAACTTGTTGAAACTTCATATACGTCCTCATAATCACAACGGCTTTTTTTTGTCGAAAATATCAAGCACCATACTCCTAGCTAGTTAAATAATGCCCTTATAATTTAAATTTTAGTCGTATTAATGAACAATTAGACGCCTGCGTCAACACCAACTAAGGATAGAGAGTGAAGTAGTCGAGCGCGTCGACAACTTCACTCCAAGGTCTGGTCAGCCCTAATGGGTTGGTGTCTGACGAAGTCTGCACGGGTTCAGAAAGTGCCTTTGGCGAAGGTGAGATATCCGTCTATCAATAAAAAAGACGAGTAAACTGTGCGGCAGTTCGTTCTGTTCTACTTTACGGCTGCGAAACGTGGCCACTAACAGTAGATACTCGCAAGCCACTAGTGTTTGATCACGGAAATCCTAGAAATATTGCTCGCATCTGCTGGGATCACCGGGTAAGTAATAGTGAGGTTAGACACAGGGTATTATGGAACGATGGTAAATCAGTTGATGAAGTTGTAAATCTTCATCGACTGAAATGGTTGGGCCACGTGTTACGTACGCCTGAACACTGATTACCACGACGCGCAATGCTGACCAGTGTTGGAGATGGTTGGAAGAACATTAGGGCGGCCAAACCAAAACGTGACGTCAGTCGTTGAAGTCACTAACTTCTGTTCTGAGCCATGTCGGTAGATGCAGACTATTTGGTTGCGGTCCATGTGACTATCGTAACCAATGGTTGGAGACTGTGGGTGACAAGGCACATAATCGATAACAATGGCGTTTTTGTATTCACTCTTTGTCTGCAATTAAACCGTGAGATTAAAATTGCTTTATACCTTTATTTCTACTATCTAATTCTTTCTTCCTGTACTATATGCTTATACACAATCTTTCTTTTATATATTACTGCTATTGAAGTAACTAGTTCTATGAATTTGGTGTTCATCTTGTTGTGCTAATGAGGTGTGTCGACTTGGACCGATGCAGATATGTGCCTGGTCCTACGTTGTAGCTGACTCACTGACTGACCGAAACATATTGACCAAAATGCTGAAAATGTTAGGGTTCAGGTCACTGCGGTACATATGACTTGCCATTCGTTTGAATTTAAAATAATTATAACCTCTTTCTTTCTTATCGATCCATGTCCTCGGTAATTTTTATGTCTTTCTGTTTTGTTAGACTCTTTATTTTAGAGGAAGTGTGACAATCTGAATCGATGTATTTCCGTGAGAGGTTTTTCCGTCGACATGCATATATCTCTTGTCAGTACTGTACTAGTGTTCAAAAAATGACGTTTTTATTTAATTTTGTACGAAAATCTTTTGAAACTGCCTTCTGATTTTTTCTAAGAACATTTATCCGGAAATGTATTTTGATCCGGAATAAATTAATGTACTTTCTTTCGGACAAAAATGGTGTAGAATTTATGTAGTCTCTTAGCAACCAACTATTTGTCTAAACGTCATCCTAACTTTATGGTATTATTTACAAGATTGTCGGCATTTGTCAAAATGTTTTTAAATACTCTTAAACGGTAGTGTTACTCGTCTTTTTTATGCTTACTGATTAATTGGCAAAGTTTGTTCTATATTTTTCTTATCCCCGATTTTCTTCACAAGGTCTCATGACTGGGGTTGTCGTTGATTCGGGTGACGGCGTTACTCACATATGCCCAGTTTACGATGGACTCTCTTTGCCGCATTTAACAAGACGTTTGAACGTCGCCGGTCGCGACATAACACGCTACCTTATTAAAGCAAGTGTATTTAAATTAAATATTTATATATTTTTACGAATTTCCACATGGTTGAGGTCCACGTGACTTTTGTAACCAATGGTTAGAGACTTTGAATAGCGTGGCTCAAAGTCGTTTGCAGCAACGCAGGTGCATCCATTCTTTGTCTTCCCACGGATTCAGAGTTTCTAAATTCTGCTTGAGCTTTTTATATCACTAACTGAAGTTTTCATAAACTTGAGGCTGAATTCCTAACAGTTGACCTATAAGAATTTGAAAGCTGTTTTCACATCTATTCATTATATGTTTTGACAGAGGAAGATGATTGTTTTAGATTGTTCTTAAAGGAGCTTCGGAATCCAAATCTTTTTGAAACTACTAAGATACTTATTCCATCACCTCTCCATCTGTTTGTGATGTGGTGTCTTAAACCTATGTTAGTGTCTGCGTCGTAACATATTTTCCGTTCTTTCCTTCACTGTAAGTTTAATTTTATAAAATGTATTGCTTATAAACATTTTTAGTCTTCCTTTTATGTTTATTCGATTCGACCTTTGTTGCACTTTGATGTAATGATAGATGATCTATCAAGTAGCTCGAAGTGTTATCACTCAAATATATCATTTCATCATTAAACTATTAAGATTGGAAACATGGTTTATTTTCTCTATCATAGGTCAGCATTACACCTAGTTTAGTGTAGCACGACGTGTTCAGACCTATTATGATTTTGGCTGTACTAAAAATATTCTTTGTACTATATGAACTTGTGTTAGTTTTATTTCGGTCATTCATTTATTCTGAAGAAGTAACTTACATTAAGCCATGACACGCTAGAAATACAACTTTCCATTCATTGGGATACCATTAAAATATATTTATTATTACCTGGTTTAGTGATCCATTTTAAATTTAGTTTCCTATGTTTTTTCATTTTTTTCGTACCAGCTCTTGTTACTGCGTGGTTATGCATTCAATCAAACAGCAGATTTTGAAACAATCCGCCAAATGAAAGAGAAGTTATGTTATGTGGCGTACGACGTGGAGCAGGAGCAAAATCTAGCTCTAGATACAACAGTTTTGGTGAAAAAATACACGGTCAGTTAAATGACAGTTATTAGTTAACATAAACAAATTTCTCACGAAGACTAGATTTATGTACTCAGCTCTAAATTGTATTTTTTTATGTTGAAGCTAACGGTAGTAACTGATCGTTCAAACCAAAGTAGGAGCTCAGTTCAAACTCTGTAACCTGGCGACATTTGTAATATTTTTCAATTTATTTGAACTTTATTTGAAACTACAAGTTTTACAATTGTTTTTTACATAGAAAGTAGAATGGTTGCATTACATTTCTGAATTCTTTTGGGAATATTAAAGGTCTCTTGAAAGTTTCTTCTGTTGTCCCTCTTATGCTTGAGTGGATTATTAACTCTGAAGCATTACTGCATATTTTTAAAAGTTAACTTTCACCAAGTGTTTGGTATTGAGCCATACTCTAAGTGTGAGGGCTGATGGTACTACCAGGTTACACAAACCGACGTAGTTGGGGAGTCTAATTTGCATTTCGTATTAGAAGAGTCTTTCAGTCGTTCGTACCTTGATATAATGTGACAAACTCTCAAATTATCACACTAAGTACAAGTCCTTGTGTTTACTTTTAAGGAATGAAGGCTAGTGATACTACTCTCTGTTCAAGTGCAATTAGATGGGGGTGGATTTGAAATCTGCTATCTAGTGTGGTTAGGTGCTTGATTCTTTAATCACTAAGCTACCAATTCCTGCTTCAATTTGGCTAACAGGTTGGTATCATTAGCCCTCACACAACTAAAGTATAATCCGAAATTGATCACATAACCTCATATACTTAGTAAACAGATTAAATTAGTTATTAATAGACAGTCGTTTGACTCATTTAGAATTTACTATTTAATCTTGTCCTCAAATAGATTCACTTTAAAAAGTGAAATTGTTAACACCATCTAGTGTTGCAATTAGACTATTTGGTTGCCTCGTAAATTATTCATCAAAAATTAACAGGTGGTTTATATTAAGTTATAATAAAATCTAGTATGCTGGCTAAATTTGTGAGAGATCAGTGAATATCGATATTCCAAAGGTAATGTGTTTACACTATAGTACAGTAGTAAATAGTAGTAGTAAAATGTTATTAACACGTGCGAAACCTACATTTTAACATGGATGATAATCAAATTCTATTGAGTAAATTAACAATGAAAAATAATAACAGGTAAAGGTTTTGTATAACCAATCGGATGTTTTCACTTTCAATGTAATCAAGATTTTAATTTCGATTTATAAACATTTACCATCATGCATATTGTGTACATATGCAATATTTTGTATACTGATGGTATATATATATATATATATATATATATATATATATATTCAAAATATTGAAATCTTGATATTTTATGGTTGAGAATGAAGAGATAATCTGGTCATCTTATAATCTGAAGGTAAATCTTGATGTTGTCGTTGCTGAGATTTTTCAATGATAAAAATACTAGTCGTGTTAGTGTTAAAATGGAGGGCATTTGTCATAGTAATTAGAGATAATCTATTTACAGTTAACTTTACATGAATCCGCTTATTTTTTAATCTTCTTAATATGCGAAATTGAAAAGCCCAACTATTCTATCCTAAATGGATCGAGTTAACACTTGTTATTCTTGTTTTTTTCATAGCAGCTCTTTATTCACTAAACTTCTTAAAAAAGAAAGGTTTTATCATTTATCTTCATATATTAATACCAATATCTGTCATGTTAAATTTTAGTATCAAGATGGTGTATTTACTGACCATTTGAGATTAATCGCTTAGTGGTTAAGAAGCAGTCAGCTTCCAACCAATAGGTTACAGGCTTAATATCATCTCTAACTGCTTGAGTTTGATCAGCTGAATAGCGTGCCAATAGCCCTCAAATAGACAACGCAGCTTAAATAATCCAAATACATAGACCTGCACTTGGCAAGTTACGTTTATTGACTGCGGTGGACGACTTTAGACCGGTAATCTTTACTGGAAATCACGCTGAGGAAATGAAAAGCATTATGTTAGTTAACGACTAGCAAAAATACTATTTGTAAAATCTGAGTAAACAGTTATTACTTTAAATGGTTGAGATCATGAGTCAGTTGAAACTAGACAACCATGAAAAACATGGAAGTTATTGCTTTAGTCTAAAAAGAAATATCCCTAAAGATAATATACAATAGTAAGGCACTATATACTTTCTCCCCAATAACATATTAAAGAAGCTATATTACTTGTACCATATGCTAGTTTATTAGCTATATATTACTAATGGTTTGATATACTTCAAAGTAAACTTTTTATAAACTTTTTCTCCCCAATGATTTCTCAATGATTGTAATAGTTTGGAAAATAGACATTCTCTATTGCCAACTAGTAAAGTCTTCACTTCTCAGGGGCATATAAACTGATTGGCTCATATCAATGGATAATTTCCCTACTATCTTTCTATTATCCAGAATCTGATAAACTTAATTTATTATGCTTTTAATCAACAGATGGGCAGTAACAAGCTCATCAAGATTTAATTTTAAAAAAATTGATAGATGTTGCTTAAATCTTCTAACTTATAATAAAGTAATTGTTTTGTAACGCTACGCTTTTCAACGGTTTCTCAACCATAATGATCAGTCAGATTTATTAAAAACTAACCATTTCACCAAAACCACCTATATATATGAATCATATCTTCTTCTTCTTCTTCATAACTTTGCCTTTTATATAAATTAACTGATTTATTTTCAGAACTTTGTATATACATTCATCTGTGAAATAATTGAAGAGATTCATATCTGTTCAAGTTAAATGCTTTTGGTGGTGTTGCATTTTCTAAGTAGATTGGATTAGCTGTAAAGTTTTTATAGCCTTCCTATACGATATCATCGGCTCCTACTTTTGTTTCAATAAGACATCACAAGCATCCATTCTTACATGTATCGTATGAATTATTATTATTATTATTACTTGAATAGTCACTATGCTTCTCTGTTTATTGATTTACTACTAACCTGCCTTGTCGATTGTGTTTTTTTGCTCTTCTTGACCTTGATCTCAAGGTCACTTGTCACCGCTATTCTATTCTCTTGATTAAATTGCACAGGTAACATTCTAATAAATTTTGTTGAAATCAATATATATGGTGCTAATTAGGAGATGAATTATTTCAGTGTTCTTAGAATGTATTGATTATCATTATGGTACTGATTTGTTTGAACTTGAGTTCTTTTCAAAAGAACTAATTTTATGTATAGTTTATTTCTTGATTGCTATGAAACGTATTAGTTTTAAATAACAAAGATATTTTAAGTTACAAATTGATGTCAGTTAAAACAGCAATGAAAACTAGGGAAGAGGTGCAATGACTGTTTTGCTCTTATGTGACTTTGACTCAAATTATTTCATGTTCGAGAATAAATTAGGAATTCTAGAGGCTTGCTTGTTAGTTACGTACGGTTATTACGAAACCAAGTGTAGGAAACGTTGTCATTCAAGACACAAAAATAGAAAATTTGTTCTAAATGAAGTAGATTTTTATTTTGACATTGTTAATTTAAAAATAGGTATAAGTATGATTTCATACTGTAAAGTGAAAGTTTCCAAATTATACAGACAAGTATTGTAAACCTGTAAATCGATAACTTTTAGGAACTGATTATATATTATTATTTTGTATCTCTGATTGATATAAGGTTGGTTTAATCTCAATTAGTTGTTTCTATGTATAACGTTAATAATAACATTTAAATTGACTACTGAACATGAGATTGATAGTTGTGCATAAAAAAACCATAAGTCAAATAGTCTCCTCCATATGTATTCAACATAATGACAATTTTCCAGTCGAAAGACACTAATCGCCTAAACAACAATGTTTTCGTGATTAATTTTAAAATATCACTTAAAAATTAATTGAATAACGAATTTATATGGTTTTCATTAGTTTATTTATGGTAAAAACATGAGTTACCTGTCCTATTTTATCAAATATCAATATATGACACATCATATTATGAGTGTAATTGTGAGGGTCATATGAATAATTAACCAAATCATAACTGGATACTTTTAGCAATTGTTTACTGTTAATGTCTGGCTTCATTGGTAACTGTGATACAGGTTTATTTACTTGGCTTTAAGTCATATTCTTTATGTAAGAGTCGGTAATACTAAAAGATAAAACGAATTCGAACATCTAATCTAGTGGTCGAAAACAAAATCCCTTAGTCACAACTCCACCCCTCTGTTACTTGTGAGGTTATGTGCACTAACAGTTGCTGACACATATATGAAGTGGAAATAATTGATAACAATTCCACAAATAACTTTCAGACTCATTAGTTTAAAAAAGACCAGTGAAATATGTCTCCCTAAATACACAATACAAATAACATATTTGTAAAGTCCTAATGAGTGAGAAGTCAAACATCTGACGTTTCATGATTATTTCTATCATTAACGATCGACCCAATGCTCAATTTATTCGAAGCTATCAAGCCAAACTTTGGTAATGAGATTCATAAAGATATGTTTGTGTTACAATTTGGTACGAATCACATGATCACTATCCACTTTTTCCAACTGACTAATTAAGAACAATGTATAAATAATTTAAACTTCACTAACATATACAAAATGGATTAGGTCTATACAGTTTAGTAATCTAACTAGCTAATCAGTCAGAATATCTCGGCTGGTAGCAGCCCATTTTTCACATTATCTATAATTTTCGGACGAAGGATCCAGCACTTTTAAAAAAAACCTTTTGATTACAAAACTGTATGATCTTACCATATCAACCTATCAGCATTCTTAGATCTCTTCAATTGCATGACGCCACGAAAATGGTGAATAACGTCGCTTGCGGCTTCATGGAACGTCCCGCTTATTAACACTGGGTTTATACAGCTTCCTTACAACTCGTTGAAGCACGTTGAACTACTCCGGACGACCACAAGTTTGACCACAACCGAAGATTGTTACGTAGTGGAATTGTGGAAAACTTGGGTAGGAACCAAGAAGTATGGTGGTTGGAGCTTGCTAATGAGCTGGAAGCAGCAACTGCTTCTGGTGAGTGCTGGAAGCTCTTCCAACTCATCTGAGTCACTGACAGCAAGAAGTCTGGTGTGAGTGAAAAAATCTGTGACGCTGACGGGATGCCAATGAATAGCTTCTACCGACGTCTTGGTCGACAGGCATAGTTCTTCGAGTAACAGTTCTACTGGTTAACTGCCCCTGTGACATCAATCAGACTGTCTTACCCTTCGTGGCCGGCGGCGACTGATTCACCTAATGAGGCGGAAGTCCACAAGGAACTCCAACTCTTGAAGCGCTACAAATCACCGCGCCCAGATGACTTACCTCTGGCTCTTTTTAAAAATGGTGGTGATTTCCTGACTAAGGAACTGACGACGTTGTTTACAAAGGTCTGTGAACTAGAAAGCGTACCAACGTCATGGAATGAGTCGATAGTTGTCCCCATCTTTAAAAAGGCTCAAGTTGTTCCTGTAACAACTATCAGAGGATAAGTCTACTTCCGATTGTGTCCAAGATATTGGCTTCCGTCATATTTTGTAGGTTGTTCAAAACACGAGAAAGATTGACTCGCGAGGAGCAGGCTGGTTTTCGTTGTGGTCGAGAATGTATCACAAGCCAACAATCTTAGTGTTTCTTGACACTAGGGCCGCCTTCGATTCGTTGGACAGTACTGTTCTCTGGGATTGTCTATTGAAGAAGGGTGTACCTGAGAAGTTTACTAACATCTTAAAAGTTTTATATACAAGCACCTCAGGCAGAGTGAGGGCATATAACCACCTTTCTCCATTGTTCCATTCGAGCATTGGGGTTAGACAGGGTTGCCCAATCTCACAATTCCTCCTCAACTTTGCCACTGATGACGTTCACGAAATAGCTGTGATGGATGTAGGCAGTAGTGTTGTGGATCCGTTGCCTGTAGAAAGGCTTTTCGACCTTCAGTGTGCGTATGGTGTTTGCACGATGATACCCAAGTCATGCGATTCGCACTTAATCAGTTGACAATCAGTATCCGTAGGCATGGTATGTGATTTGCACCTTCGAAGTGCAAAGTACTTTTACAAGATTCGCAGGACCTTGACCCTGCACTCATCCTGGGTAGTGAGCAGACAGAAGTAGTAGAGAAGTCCGTGTATCTGAGTAGATATGTGAGTGAGTGATGAGATCGATTCACGTATATTGAAAGCCAGAGCGACTTACGCCAATCTAGGTCATTTTTGGCACCTTTGTGATGTTAGTCTGGTTGTAAGAGGTTGGATCTACGACGCGTCGCTGAGAGCGGTTTCGTTGTATGCTTGTGAAACCTGAAATTTCCGAGTTGAGGATTTTAGATGACTCTCTATGCTTGTTCATTGTTGTCTCCGAGGGGTTGTTGACGTCCGGTGGTACCACTATATTAGTAATGCAAAGGTTCGGCAACGTGTGGTCAGGCACAGCGACATTAATCCAATTGGTGTCACTATCAGTGGTTTGGGCATGTCCTACGGATGCCGAAAATGGGACCGGTTAAAAAAGGTGGAGAGGTGATCAGTGTATGACGCAGTGTCGTGGTATGTAATATAGCTGTACAGGACTGGCTTCCGTTGGCCTTTCGCAACTTCCTCGTTGGGGTTCTAGAGGTGATGCAACACAACAACCAGAGATGTTATCAGACATAGCTCAGAATAGAATTCAGTGGCGATCGTGCTGTAACTTACTTTTACTTTATAAAAGTAAGCGTAATTTCTTTAACGGAAAGGATTCTCCCTGATTGTATATTTTCTAACTAAACTGCTTCTCTGGTTATTATTATTATTATTTGACACTCATACGCTAATTTCTGTTCATCGTTGCTCTTCCACCCTCCATTTTCCACAACCTCATTTTTATTGTGTGGTGCATATATATTTAGTGCCCCCGTGTACCGATGTCTATGTGTGTAAATGATTTCTTCTTTGTTAACTTACACTATATATTCCCGTCACTTTTTTAGGTTGAAACATCAACAGTAGCAGTTGTTATTATATAATTTTTAAGCGTATAGGAGATTAATATTTACACTCCACTTCTACTTCTTTCGTCTCTCTACATATATTACAGAATTTAAACTGAATCAAATAGCTAACCTTCGATCTATGTGCCACAGATGGCACAACCTCAATAGTTCATATGAGCTTGATTTTATGGAAAATATCTGATTCGAAGCCGAGCATATCTCAATAAATCTATTATTTGTTTTTACTTTTTTTCCAAACTTAATTGCGAACAACTACAGTTACCTGATGGACGTGTTATCAAAGTAGGTGGTGAGCTATTCGGTGCACCAGAAGCTCTCTTTCAGCCTCATCTAATCGATCGTGAAGGTGTCGGTATATCAGAATTATTATTTAATACAATCCAAGCTGCTGATATTGATACAAGACCAGCATTCTACAAGCATATAGTATTAAGTGGTGGGAGTACAATGTATCCTGGTTTGCCAAGTCGTCTTGAACGTGAAATTAAACAGTTATATTTACAAAATGTACTGAAAGGTGATACAGAAAGATTTGCAGTAAGTATTCTAATTTTTTTTTATTAAGTCATTTAGTGAGTTATACGCAAAGTAGAATCTGGCACATTTTCACATCTGTTCAAGTTGCCACGCCTCTATTAGTAGAGCGAGGAGAAATTGTTAGGGCGAATTCCAGAGTGATAGAGTTATTATTAGTACTAGTAACAATATTATTAGTAAGCAGAGATGGATGGTGGCTAGCAGTGGAACCCAGGAATCACATTTCGTCCTATTTAGGATTCGTTAACCGGATACACCTGGGTCTCAGAGTTGATGTTCACTCCGAGACTCGAATCCAGTACCGTTCGCTTCAAATGCCATCGCGTTACCCACTTAGCTACTGAGTTCAGAGAGCCACTAGCTTGTGCAATTTTGGTGAAGTTTTGATTCATTTTTGTATTGGTTATTTAAACTCTGGTATGCATGTACATCCAGATGACGAGTCCCAAACAGGACGAAACGGGCCGTGACCAGTGGAGTTCAACTGGGACTGTTGTGAGATAGTAATTCACTGAAGACAACAGTGGACGGTGGTGCATTTTCGTGGATTGGTTCAAGTTAGACACTAACACCGTTGGATGCTGGCTCAGTGGCCTAGAGGTTAGGCGTCCGTGCGCGAGACCGATAGGTCTTGGGTTCGGATCCCGCGAGCGAAATCGTGGGTGCCTACTGCTGAGGAGTCCCGTACTAGAACGAAACGGTCGTCCAGTGCTTCCAGGTTTTCCATAGTGGTCTAGCTTTAATTGACTCATGAATTCAACTATTAAATTTAAAAAAGTCATAAAATGAAATATTGAATATCCAAGAATACCACTTCATTGTATTCGCTTTAGTTATAAATTTTGTTTGTCTATTATTCCCAATACACTTATTATTTTTGGTTGCCTCAACTCAAGTCTCTCAAATGTTTTGATTCAGTAGAATCAGTAAACTGAATTTGGCTTTATCTGATAACATCTGATTATTTGAGCGTAATGAGAAGGATACAATATGAGATTGGTTGTTCATTGATCCTGTGCTTATTATATTATAGTTATCGATTCGTCACTTTCTCAATATTTTTAAAGATCATATTTTTTAAAAGTAGTTCATGGATGAAATATTATAATTTCGTATGTTTTTGTCTATGTTCTGCTAATAATGTTTAATCATCACATATTTAACAATATTTATGATAAGTGAATAGGTTCTCATCAAGCAAGAAAAATCAATATACACAGTGGCTTGTATATCTGTGAGGTATAGGCACCAAAGACAAGAAGACTAAATGCATTCAATTGTGAATACTACCTTTTAAGTATCGCAGTTATGTAAAATAGAGACAATGGTTAAAAGTTTAAAATTCAAACTTAGTCTTCAATGTAGTTTGTTAGTTGAATTTTAGTCATGAATCGCCATTGAATAAAATACTTTAAAACACATATTGCACATGATCACTGACCAACTTGAAGTATTATATATTTACTCTAGAGGAAGCTTTGTCGAAGTTATAGTGAAGTCAAAATACAAAATCAAGTCACACAATCATTAATTTCTAAAAACAGTGTAGGCAGACGTAGGCATTGAATTGAAGGTTGGTCAATTCACTTACTCAGTAATAACAGCAGCGACTACTGTGATGTATGTTACTTATGTCAGTCGATATAAGTAGTATGTATCGTCAATCAGAAGTAGAAAACCTGGCAATAGGTTGGGATGATCGAATTGAAGAGAACGGGGACAAAGAGTGATTGTTATGGCAGTGAAGGAACAATCAAGTTTGGAACAGTTAATGAAAATTTGCAAATGAAGTATTCAATGTACTGTTCTCATATTTTACGAAGACATTTTTTAATTTTGTATTTAAATACACTGGTCGTCCCCACCTGTGTTCTCATTCATTACACTACTATCACGCGAATATCTTTTAATGTATTTTCTTGTCTGTTTGAGGTTATTACTTACTGTAGGGTTTTGTAGAGGGATTTATTCTCGTTTGCATCACGTATTAACCCCCAAAAATCACGGAGTACTGGAGAATCGTTTCATCTCAGTATAAAACTCCTCGGCAGTTCTCGTCTATCACGATCCCACCGGGGACCGAATTCAGGACGTTCAAATTTAGTGGCTAAATCTTAACCTTCAGACCAGTGGATCTTCATCTATTGGTTTATTTTTCAATGCGTAACACTGCTTTTGAGTTTGTATGACCTCGGATAGATAGTAGGACAAAATATCATTTTTTTGGTCCCTGGTTCTCAGTGTTTCTCTAAATAATTTATCAATTTCTGACTGGAAATCAACCGATCAATCGTCTATTTAGAAAAAGAATATTTTTGATGCTATTTGACTAGTGTAAAAAGAATTTCTACTCCAAATGAATTGGATACTAAGTAGAAAAGAATTTCGAAATAAATGTACGTATATCATTGAAATTAATTTTTAAGTCACTGTCCTATCAACAGAATCTTTAGTACTGATTTCTGTAGTTACATTTAAATAAATTGATATTTCACTGGTTGAAATCATGAGTCACTTGAAGCTAGACCACCATGGAAAACCTGGAAGCACTGGACGGCTGCTTCGTTCTGGTATGGGACTCCTCGGCAGTGCGCACCCACGATCCCGCACTCCGCGGGACTCGAACCCAGGACCTACTGGTTTCGCGCGCGAGGACTTAACCACTAGACCACTGAGCCGGCATCCAACGAAACGGCCGTCCAGTGCTTCCAGGTTTTCCATGGTGGTCTAGCTTCAATTGACTCATGATTTCAACCAGTGAAATTCTTAAAAATCTACACAAAACCCATTCTGATAAATTGATATTTCCTTCTACTAATGACTTGACTAGATTTATTAACGAATTGTTTGGTCTTGTCTCCATAATGGATGCGATCAGTCAATCTTTAATCACACAAAAGAAAACTTACAAAATTCATTTAGTGTAAGGATGATTTCAAATGCACAATAATTTTATTATTTTTTAATAATAGGATAAAACAATATATTTTGCGCCGTTCATACCTGATGTTTATCTCAACTCTATGTTGCATAGTAAAGATAATTCATTTTTGGTGCCCTTATTTAATTTAGGAGTTCATTTCAATAATAAATCATTGAGTTTTCATGCTAAAGATAATTATTTTCAGTTTGTTCAACTTTGTTAATTCACTTTTTTCTCTCAGAAATTCAAGATGTGCATCGAAGCCCCACCTCAAAGGAAACATATGGTATTTATAGGTGGATCAGTGTTGGCGAATATTATGAAAAATGACCGACGTACCACATGGTTAACTCGTGCTGAATACGAAGAAAAAGGCTTAAAAATATTAGAAAGACTAAACTACTATAAATAACACTACCATGACCACCCCGTGTTGATTACAATGGAATATATACATACTGATTAACCTTGCCAATTCAGGCTAACTTGCTTTCGCTCACGAATTAATAGTGACTTGTATGTTTGTTTTTCACTTCTTTACTCAGCACATTTTTTTCTACCTGGTTTGTATCCGTTTATTTCTGGGAAAGAAATCCAAATAATTTACTGTCGGAAGCTGATTTGAAAAAAATCCACTACACATTGTATTCATGATTTGATTTATATATATATATATATATATATATACATATATATATATATATCCAACACTTTGTGTATAGAGAAGATATATAAATCAAAGAGATTATTTTTATTGTTGATACACTGAAAGTGTAGTACAAAAGTAAGAAAGTGATTTATAATTGAGCTGAAATAAATACTGCATAATTGTTTGTGGTGCTTTCATTATTTTAATAACTTTTTTTTGAAAAAAATGATTTCGGAAAATAGGAAATCTTTATGTTACACAGAAATGTTATAATTTCTCCGAAATTGTAATCATGTATTGTTTCTTCATTTCTTTTTTATAATAACTCGTATATATTCTGTAACATTATTTGTTTATTGTTATCTTTAGGTTGTGCACATAGCTGTGTAAAAATAATCCATTAATCATCACTCCATTTGAATAACTAAACATTTTACAACATAGACCGATCCTAACTTCCAGCCGTCAGTAGATTTACAACTGTTGATTATTTATTGTTCGAATGTTAGGTGGTTAGAGTTAGTGGGCAAGAAAACCCTACCAAATGATTGTGAAAAGTGGTGGGTAGCGAACGCAAAAGAAAAAAATGACACCAGCAATAAGTAACAGTTAAAAAGTATTCACACTTATCAAAAAACCAGGTATTGAACTTTTGGTTGTTAGTGAGACTATATCAGGAAGGACTGGGACTGTCATTCACCTAATGTAGGAGATTGGACTGGCGAGCAGAATACTTTAGGAGACAGTTCTACTGGATTTCAGTTATCTACCATTTCTAAGTAATTTAAATGACGATTTGATGAAAGTCCTTCAACTCATAGTGAGGTTGAAAAAGCTGTGGGCAATGTAAGGCAAGGGAGAGCACCATGACCTGATTGATTAACCCCGAAGATTTTTAAAGATGGTGGTGCAGTTTTAGCAGTTAGATTGAATGAGATCATATATAGAATCTGGGAACCGGACGTAATCTCCTATGACCTGTCTCGATCGCTGATCGTCCCAGTCTGTAATAAGAGAGTTTGATCAGTATAGTGTTTAAATTGTTAACACTGATGATCCTTTAATGCTAATTTAGGGCTCGTAAAGAGCGAGCTGTTGGAAACAAGGCTGGTTTCAAGACTGGATATGGATGCATCTGAACTACTGGTAAATGCTCTGTATATTACTGTGAATTTCTCGGTTAATTGTCTGTGAGATGTTTCTATTTTATTTAGAAACTATATGTCTGTTAACACTTACATTATATGGAAGTTATTTCATCATAAATAAAACTGTTCATACAAACAGAAATTACATGCGACTGAATTTTATTGAAACTCCTGTATGGAATACCTCATGTGAACTAGGGTTATATAACTAGTTTTCTTTACACTTTCGAATTAGGGATGACACCACCTTTCATTCTCAAGAAACGTAGGAATCTTTACGAAGTTTTTTCCTTGATCCTACAGGACGGTAAACAAAAAGGCTTTGTCACAATAAACATGATGATGTTACACTCATTCAACCCTATTTACAGCAACATAATAAAATAAAGTTGAGTAAAGGACCGTCGAAACATCAAAAAACCGAGTGAACTAGACAAGATGCAAAATATCTCAAGTAGGATATAAGCATTCATCAGTTCAAGAATAGATGAATTATTCACCTAACCTAATCCAATATCCTGAAGCCAATTATGAAGTCTGTCTGTTGTACGTATATGCTTTTCTGGTATTAAAGTTTACTAAAGAGTTGATAAAGCATTAGGAGTGTGCGCATTGATAGTGGCTAAACTAGGTAGTAGATCAGATCAGGATTTGCTAACAAGTATAATAAGTAATGAGAAAATGTATTCAATCAGGAATTGCATTAATTGATAAACAGAGATAATAAAAAAATAATCTATTAATTAAATGCATTGAAATCGACTTTCACTCTTCTAATTGAAATCTGATCACCATTACACCCAAACATTTTCCTTGCCTCACATTATGAATTGCAATTTTTAGAGAAAGTACCTGAATACATAAAAAGTATCGTGAGAATGAAAAAAATGTAAGACTAAAAACAAAGGTTACACACCAAGTCAATTTCCCTCGTTTTTTTCCAAAAATGAATTATTTCTTCTATTCCAAACACTCCTTGTTACTTGAGAAAAATCTCTTAGCATGCTCCAAAGCTTCTGATAAATTTAAGAATTTTCTGTGATGATTTGACGATGACAGTGAAATCGATTGTTTATCATTTGATTGTTGATGAATAATACTTTGTTGAACCCATTTAGGTAATTGTGATTGAATCGTTGAACGATAGTACCGATTATCCAGTAAGAAGACAACAGCATAATCCTTTGCATGTCGTATAGATCGACCAATAGCTTGATTTATTAAACGCATACACATTGTCTCATAATATTGCCTACCTGGATTTTGTGTAGATTGGGATTCACGAATGAAATGCTTATCCAAATAATTCATTTTTTCTCTTAACTAGAAAAATGGAAAGGAAGTTCATCAGTGAATGTCATAAGACAATGAATAAAACATAAATCAATGGTTAAATATTTTTAGAGGGATTGTTATATGAATTAACCCAATCGCCCAACCATTAATGTGTTATAAAATTCGATCCGGTTACTAATACGCACTTCTCAAATCAGTGACAAATCGAATATGTGGAGAGAGTAAACCAAAACTATGGAAATTTGATATTAATGTACCATAAAAAATATTTAGTACTTATGCGTCTTGTCTGATCTAGACAAGGATATATATGCGATAACCTTGGTCAAACGAACAACTCACTTACATCAGGCCGCCTCAACTTTTACTTATCACGTGGCCCTACAAGTATACATAAGCAGTTCGGTACCACATGACATCAGTCTAGCGTTTCTGTATTGTCTTTAGAATTTAGGACACTTATCAATCAAATACGTAAGTAATATTCATAACGCATAGGTACCAACTGGGGAACACTATTCTAAGCCAGACAACACTGTATGGCTGTTTCATCCTGGTTTGAGTAGAAAAGGGAAATTATGAGTTGTTCTTAGACAATGTATCAGAAACGTTTTAAAACTTTATAATAATTACTTGTAAAACAATGGAGAAGATTTGTGGCTGAAATGGATGCTTCGCATAGTGTTATGTTATCTAGACTGAATGGTTAAAGTCAAATGCATCAATCAAATTACTTTTATGATTCCATTTAACAATTCAGCAATGCAAATAATGTATACACTTCAATGAGGTAGCATTAAACCTACAGTGCTAACATTAATTGCAAACAATGAGGGTGAGGCAAAGTTAGTAAAAATGTTGTGGCCTCATGATTATACTCTATGTTCTAAACAATATTATCACTCTACATAATATTAAAGAAGTGAAATTGACAGATTTAGTTTTCACAAATAATATACTCTACAAACTATACCTTATATCAGGATTTTTGTCTGTAAGAACCAAAATAAGCAGGGACTGGTAAATGTTGAAAGCCACTACTATCTAACAGAGTTTTCATGAAAGATCACATAAAATAAAGATAGTAACAAGTTTTTGGACCTCATGGACTTTTGTATCGAGCAACTTAACATATACTCGAGTCCGAATTTCAGAAAATTAAAGGACTAAGAAAGTAAGTGTGATATACCGTCGTCTACTTATATATATATATATATATATATATATATATATATATATATATATATATATATATATACGTAATTGAATCGGAGCTATATACTTACAATTGGGGACTGTGGATTTGCATATGGCATGCCGATAATGATCACAACTCGAGCTAAATCATCTGTGAAATTTATTCCTTCACTGAGTTTTCCACCAATCACACATAGCAAAAGGGCTCCATGTTTATGTTGCAGTTTTTGAGTAGCTGCTACTCCATAAGCTTGCATTATCTAAAATCTCAAAACAGAGGTTTGAAAATCAAAACGTCAATTAACCATCTTAGAATCAAGTAAATTTCACATAATTTAGACAAACTACTGGTTTAATTAATCTACAGGGTGGATTTTAAACATGTTTGAAGTGTCTCTGGGTAATAGTGTTTGAGTTATTAGAATATCTCAATGAATAGTCTTTTATAAACACTTATGGGAGATTTATTGCGATATATTCACTAGTGAATTCTAGTAAGACTTAAGGTGTCAGTGATCATGTGGGGATTAGTGATGGCGAAGCTATAATGTAAATTGGTTGGAGTTGTAAACATGAACAAACAAAAAGGGGACAATTTTCGCCATCAGAAGTGAAATTTATTAATTTAGTTCCGTTCATAGATGTAAGTATACAATTCTGAGGAATCCTAAAATTAGAATAAAACCATTGCCAGATGATCTCAAGTTTTTAATCATACAGTTTGATGAATCTAAAAGAAACTGCATAGATAAATAAACTAGATGGCTTAAATTTTCGCGAGAAATTTATATCAGATGATTTGATTCATATCAACATAACACAAGACTGAGAATGTAACAAGTTATGAATACCTATAAAACTGTCTATGAAAAACCATACTACTTTTGCACGACAAGTAATATAATGATACATACAGTATATTTCATACCATAGATTACACAATTGGAGAATTTCTTAGGAAATAGGATTTTACTTTGTGTGAAAGACTTCATGAAATATATCGTCATCATTTGATACGCATTTGGTGTCTAGGTAAGTTGTATAAGGCATATATTGCTTAACTGAGATTGATCATTCAAAAACCAAACTGTATACAGAAATATACGCTAAACCAATTACCTGAAATATCAGATAATTGATGATATTGTCAACGAAAAACCAGGGTATTTAATTTTCATTATTGTTATTACGAAAATTACAACCTAAATAATATTGTGGTATATTAATTGTGACTTTATTACACGGTAATAAAAGGTATTTATGAAAATTTTCAGATAAACCTTGATGATAAATACGCATCTTATTGACGCTTTAGAAACTTAACATAGTGTAAGGTTGTACAGAGATATATATTTCATTTAGGAACTGAATATATATCATTATTATTATTATTTCAGAAAATCTATCCAAATAAATACATCCATTCAATTGGACTATATCGTTTTACATTCGTATGGTAAGCTATACTAAATGTGTAATTAAATAAATAATATACTTGTGATATCCCAATGAGTAGAAAAATTAGGTTTCCTGGCGTTTCGTGACTTAGTATAAGCCACTTCTTCAGAGGATAGATAACCAAATTAAAATTAATCCAATGTTTAAATAGTATCAAACCAAACCTTAGTAATGATACCTAAATGTGTAATTGTTTTACTACTACTTCAATTCTGTTAAATATTTCATTATCAATTTTCAAATAATCAAAAGACGTGAATATATATTTAGTATATTAGATGTTAATCATCGCAAAACGTTTTGTTTTTCAATATTTTAGTGTTTATCATTGTAAAAAAATTTTAATGAACGTGATGAAGAATTTACTTTCAACAAACATTGTAATTTTTCAAATTTGGTAAAAACAAACTATTATTCACAAGTGATTGATCGCTGGGCGGTGGTCAATGTCATGCTTGTCTAGTCCTTATTAGTGCAGATCGAATGCTATCGATCATGTTGCAATGTGGCCACCAGTCTAGGTGACTCGACACTGCGGGCACTATGTATTGAGATTCAGATGGTGGTTGAAGGTAGTCAACAGGAAACCTGGGTCCATCATCTAAATCTCAACAAACTATTATTATTATTATAATCCTAATCATGTTATCACGTACATTCATTTCAAACAGCTAGGTGATGTTCTATCAAAGTGATGTTTGTTAGTGTCAGATCCCTTACAGATACAGAGTGTGTTAGACAATTTCAGACGACTGAAAATGTAAAGATCACAGACTTAATGACGACTTAATATTCGTAGTGAAAATGTACTAATATATAAAATAAATTTGTATCTGATTTGGGTTTTGTGGATATTAGTTTAATTCATGAGTCGATTAAAGCTAAACCATCTTGAAAAACGTGGATGCGCACTACTGACGAGTCCCATACTAGGACGAAACAGTGTGGTGAAATTTAAAAGTTAGTTTCAATGATCAAGCTAAAAATGTACTCATGATAAATTCCAAGTTTGTAACTTGATGTGATCATGAGAACATATTCTTCTGAGAGTTTCAAAATAATTTGAAACAACTATCCAGTTTGCATTATTTTAAATAAATTCCTTTCAGCTGACATTATCGGAAATGTTTTAAATATTTATTATGCGTATCGCAATCAAAATTTTTAGTGACTTTTCCGTTCATATATTAAATAATTACTGGATACTGGAGTGTAATTTTCATTAGTGATTTCACATCAGGTCCCATATTTTACTATACTTGTGCTTTTTATGTGAGGTATATCGGTATTCGATATACTGAATATTATTCATAGTAGACAGTCGTGGATAACTCGTCTATTGAAATGAAAACTACACACTGATCTGCATCACTTACTCTATATGATTCTGGGTATGCTGCAATCATTAAAGATTTAAAATGTTTTAGATAACTTCAGATAAATTTTTGAATTGATGTCACCTCATAAGAAAATATGATTTGCAAATAGCGGATAACTAGTTAAGTCGAGAAAAACAGTATTCTGTTTACAATGATAATCTTACTGATTTATCTCTTTTTGTACAAATACACAGCGAAACAAGAATATTGTTTTTGAAACCTAAAGAAACAGAAAATATTATGAACCCCTAATTCATTGATATTTTAAAGTATGAGTGTATTTTTCGAAGCATCAATATATCGGGTTTTAGTTGAAAAAAAATTGGTTAAAGCTCTTAACCTCTCTATCATTTTTACTCTATTAGTTAATTAACGAAGAAAAGTTGAACAAACGAATGAAATATTAATTATCAAATTATGATATAAATCAATAAAAACTATTCACTTGATCTAATTGTGTTGTTGATTTTGGTTCGTGAAAGAAACTTTTATACTTTGCTATTTTATTCAGTAAACCTGTCGCCTCCCAATGATTATGTAAAATTGACTGATATTCATAAGATGGAGTAAACACAACAATTCCAGCTACAATGAGAACAAGAAAAATCATACATAAAGTTAGAGGTGGGTAATAATTAGATAAAATAACATACAGGAGGATCACAGCTAGAACTAAGTAAATCGACCAAGTTTCACAAATACTACGTAGACACGGTGAGATAAACTATCAATCAATCAACTATTAGTAAGGTTTCGTGATATCTAGTTGGTTATAATCAAGACTGCTATATGTGCATTTTAATCGGTTCCCTCAAAATATACCTGTATAAACATATTTATATAAATAAATTAGTAGCTATTTGGACTTAGCAGCTTAGTGGATAATGTTTTGGGCATTTGGAGCCAACGGTACTGGGTTCAAATATCAATGAGAATGCCAAAACTGAGACCTAGGTACATCCAGGTGAGGAGTTACAAATAAGACGAAACATGCATTCTGAACTTTACTACCAGTCACATATCAATTGTGTTTAACCAACTAGCTAGTTTAAAAGAATTTTCTTATGCTAAAAAGCACTAGCAGGTTATTTATTTGGCTAAATATAATTAATGGATATCCTTGAACTGAAGACTCATGATGATTAGCAGCAGAAACCAACAGGGGAATCAATGCTCTACAACAGGTCATGAGGATGAGATCAATGAATACGCTTAATTTGTCTAACTGATTTAATCGGATAGATTAAAAGGTATACATTTAATTTTTGAAAACTATCGAGGTTAATATTCAGCTATGAACAAAATATCTCATATTCATTGGTTTATCTAACAAAAGCTCAGAAAATATGAAAGATCCTTTAATGTGGAAAGTTGATTAATTTCAAATGATTATTTTTGAAACATGTTTTCACCATTGTTGATAATGAACTCAATAAAATCTTGAGTCAGACACTGCAATATTGATTTGTTTAGCTTAAGAATTTGATTGTAAAGTTGTTAACCAACAATAGTTGATTTACATTATGTAGAAGACAACATCACTAATTAATGAAAGCAAAGTTTATATATTAATTACATTAGCTATTTTAGTTAGGATTGGTTTTCTTGGTTCAAAGTAACCCATAATAATTATACAAAGAAGGTACGTGTATGATGGAGAGAGAGCAAAGCTGGTCGACTAGAATCAGGATATGAAGAATTATATGAATGAGTGTATCTAATGAAATATTAACAAAGGAACATTTCAAACTGACACAATATTAAAAAATAGAATATAGAACGAAAACCTATCCAATACTGAAATTCTGTGAGGTCAACTGATTTAGTAATTCAAAGGTTCATTGATTTTAAATTCGGTTTCAACTCAGGTTATTCGTCGATTTTAATCAGAATCTGGAATTTTGCACATTAAGCTTATTTTATACGCAAAAGCAAATTCCTAATTCTTGCTAAGATTAGTAGATAGCAATGAAAGTTGTATCAAGATTACATAGTTCAGATGGTAGTTTAAATTAGCGAAAACCTGAGCTAAAATTTATGTTATCCAGAGAAATATTGGATCTTCTCTTATTTTCCCTAAAATCTAAAAAATAGATCTCCATCTAACTTGTTCTTTTAATAAACATACAATCCAAAGAGATTCTATATGTCTTTTTTAACAAATCCAAAAATCTAATTAAAAACATCTAAACAATAACAGAGGCTCGTCAGGAAATTTGCAATTTCGAGGTTATTACATAATATATTCAAAATAAAATAATGCAAATATCCCAAAACATGTTGTAAACGTTAAAAAAATTTACAAAACCTTAACAGATTTCGAATAACCCAACTCAGAATTAATATATAAATTAGTATACTGGATATTTGATTCAAATGCCATAGTACGGTCGAGATTGAAGAGTCCGATCTCCCTCTCAAATGCTCTCACATGGCCACGTGTATATAGCCTCTGCCAGGGAAGTCCTACTCCCTGCCTTCTCGTGGCAGGGGTGTTGTTTACGGAATTGAGAGGATGAAAAGCGAATGTTCAGCGCTTTATTAGGGTTGGTGGACACGAAGAGTCCACCTAGGGGAGTCGGAAAACCCTGATTCCAAACCAATGGTGCACATGGGCTCCAGTATCCTTAAAGAACAAATGGCGTATGAAACAATCGTTATTCACCGGCTACAATGGGACTGAACCTCCTTACGATGCTCCACTGCCTTGTGGATCAGACCTTCAGATCGAAGGCTTCGGGTGTGGCCTCCTAAGAAAACCACCTGCTTCGATTTGGGCACCCAGGCAGTATCACAGCCCTCACACAAATCAAATGAGATTTGTGTGGCGCATATGTATCTGGTGTCCCTTTGTACCAGTATTTATGTGTTCAGATAATAATAAAAAATATAACAAATAGTTGATATTCTTCTTATACACAATTATTGAGAAAAAAGTAGTTAAATACCCATCGAAACTACTTTTAAATAACTTTAAACAATTTGATCATGAGAAAGTTATTGGTATAAATTTGAATATACATTACGTCATAATCAGTTTTCATTTTCATATGATCCACATTTGAGCAAGAACAATAGTTGGAATTGATTCAAACGTGACCAGTAAATAAGAAATGGTCAAAAAGAAAAGAGTTAAACAATCCAATAATTATGATGATCTTTTTTAAACTAAACTAAATTTTATTTTTCTTATTAGAGATCAGATGATCATGTTATTGTATAAATTCAATAATGCTAACATTATTTTTTGTTTATTATTATTATCATTATTATTATCCGTTTCTTTTTGGATACAGAATCTAGATGAAATACTTCTCTTTTATCAAGCGAATGTAACTCACCAATTACAAGTTTCAGTACGCAGCTATAAGTCACATTGAGATAACTTACGAATTATTTGGTTATAAATCAATTGTTTTAACCATTAAACGATTGTGCTTCATTTATATCGGACTGATAAAAATTTCGTTAAGTTTGCTTTGATTATCAACTATAATTTACATCTCTTATTATCACGCAATAATTGAAAGTGGTAACCTCAATTGTGGCATATAAACAAAAATTTGTAACTACCAAACAATTTATTCATCTTGCAAATGATTGTTTTAATTTTCACAACCAAAAATGAAAATAAAACAGAAATGGTCAGCACACTCTACTTCAGTCGTAAACGATAATTTACATAAGTTCAATTTGTGTCTCTCTAGGTCTGAGTTAAAGTAAATGAAAGACTACTTTTATTGTACATGAAACACATATGAACAATATATATATATATATATATATATATATATATATATATATATATATATATATATATATATATATATAATGAAATTTCGTTCACACGATACAGGTTAGCCAAAAGAAATAATCAATATATCTTGCATTAATGTAAAGACATATCAAACGAATACAGAGGATTTAACAATAATGTAATAATTTGAGGAGTTTTATATCGTCACGTTAAAATATGTAACAGGTTTCATAGGCTAATAGCTTTAGTAGTACTAAATAAGTGTATTTGACATATAGTCACTCAATATACAAGGTCATACAGTCTGTCATAAGTAACATAGAACCTGAAATATATGATTCAATTTGTCACATAAAACTAACACGATAACATGAAAATTTTCAGATAGATGTTAAATTTATCACTATAGGGTCGTGAAGACTGTTGAATTTGAATTGAGATCACGAACCAATCAAGGAGTATAATCCAGTGAAATAAATTTGGAAGGAGAAAAAAGAAAAGGACATGAAGAATTAAGAAGATTAGAATTTGGGAGAACACAAAGAGTGGATGCACCTACACCATTGCAAACGATTTTGAGCCATGTCATTCAAGGTCTCTAACCATCGGTCACCACCGTCTCGCAGATCCCAACCAGGTAGTCTACACCTAACAACATGGCTCAGTTCACTTGTCAGTGACTTCATGGATTTGTGCCATGTCTTGGTCTGGCTACCCCTAGCTTTCTTCCAATCTACTCCTATACAACAAAACATTGCACATCGAGGCAGTCGGTGGTTGGGCATACGTAACACATGTCCCAACCATCTCAACTGATGAAGTTTCACGTCATCAATTGATTTGCCATCCTTATCTAGTACCCGTTTCCTAACAACTGCATTACTTACTCGATGGTCCCAGGATATACGAGCAATATTTCCAAGACATCTATGATCAAATACTACTAACCTACGAATATCCTCTACTCTTACCGGCCATGTTTCACTGCCATGAAGTAGGATGGAATGGACTGCTGCACAGTAAACACGTCCTTTAGTTGATAGACGGGTATCTCGCCTACGCCATAAATGACGCAAGTTGGCAAAAGCTAGTCGAGCATTCTGTATCCGTGCTGAGATTTCGTCACACAACAGACCACAAGGGCTAAATGAGACTCCCAAGATAAGTGAAGCGATCGACACACTCAACTACTTCACTCCCTATCATTAGTTCAGGTGTCGATGCAACCCAATCCTCAAGCAACATTTTGCATTTCGAAGGGGAGAATCGCATCCCGAACATGCTTGCATTGTTGCTTACAGTGGTCAGAAGACTCTGCATTTTGTCAGCATCTTCATTAAATAGGACTATGTCATCGGCATATTCTAAGTCAAAAAGTAAATCTCCTGGTAAAAGTTCAACTCTTGGAAATTCAGATGAGGAAAGTGTCATCTCTAAAAGCACGTCAACGACAAATTTGAACAAGAATGGAGAGAGTGGACAGCCCTGACGAACACCACTTCAGGTAATCAATTCTGATGACAATTCGCCATAAGCTCTCACTCGACCAGTTGTGTTCGAGTAGAGAGCTTTTATAAGGTTAATGTACTTCTTTGGTACTCCTTTCAGTGACAAACACTGCCATACAACCTCACGATCAACAGAGTCGAATGCCTCCTTTAAGGTAGAGAAATACTACCATTGTGGAGCGTCTGAATGTGTGTCTGTGTTCTAGAACCTGACGTAGTGTCAATATCTCGTCTATACAACCACGTCCAGGTCGAAAACCAGCCTGATTTTCTCTAGTCTGCAATTCATGAGCTTTAGTTAGGCGTCGAAGTATCATTGA